GGTATAGCAGGAGGGCATTTCAAGCCTCCCCAAGCCCAGGGCTCTTTCCTAAGACTTCCAAGGAGGATGTCGGGATATCACACAGCACAACAGATTCGAGGCAAAGACCTGAAGAAACCATACTGTTTCCTCAAACGGGAAAAGGAAAACTATGGTAAACGTGTTGTAGTAGCGAGGCAAGCGCACAAAACCGAAAACGGAAACACGGCCAGGCGTGCTCAGTGCCGATGTCCAGGACCCTGGGCCGCGGGCTCAGGCGGGCAGAGCCCTGGCCCTGAACCAGAAGGTTTCGCTGTGTGTCTCTAGAGCGAAGAACCAGAAACTGGCCTTACTCCACCCTCCGAGGCCGTACTTTATGTCCGCACAGCGGGTTCACAGAAGAATCCAGCTGTCCACAGGGTCCTCGGGCAGGTTGGGTAAGAGATGCGCATAAACAAGAGCGAGCAGCCGCCACCCACACGAGGACAGGAGCTAACATCTAGTCTTCCTGTGCAAAGCGTTCCCCTGGAGGCTTCCGTGTGGATGGCTCCCCTGAGGAGAAAGGCTGGGGATGGAGACCTGAGGACCCATCACACCGGATAAACCCGTGGCTCAGTCCCGGCCCTACTGATTCCTGGCTGGGAGCCTTTCACTCAAACTTCTGACAATGTTGTTTCCCCAGTGATGAAAAGGGTTAGGAACCCCAAACTTTTGAATGTGTTATAAGGACTAAAATATGTAATGTGTACAGAGCATCGATAGATCATTTCTTGTTGCAGAATAACAGAAGTTTTGATGTGCTGGGATCCTTCCAAAGAATGCTAGCTGTTTATCAAGAGGTTACTATCTTTTTTATTATAAGCTTTCCCCCAATGTTTCAGTACATCGTTTTCTGTGAATTGAAAGGTCACATTCTCTATCATTTGCTACCAAGAAGGCTTGATGTTGGCCACCATTTTGATTTTGCTTTAAGGGGAAAAAACTAAGTACTGTGGACGGCAGTAACTTTGGGCTGAAATCACTGCTCCCCACCCCCCACCCCCACCCATTTCACGTGCATCCTCCCTGACCAGCAGGACCCTGGGCTAAGAGGTGAGGCTCCTTGGGACTCGTGGGCCTGACCAAAAGCCCCCAAAGCCAGGGCTGAGGGGGCAGAAAGATGACGCTCCACAACCCTGACAAGAAAGTCCACAATACGTATGCTTTCTAGAACCCCGGCCTCTTGGCAAGCCTCAGCCCCTCCCACCACCACTGTCATCAGCAGAGCAGGGCTGGCCCACCAGGTGGCCCTGAACTTCCCATGCCCTGAGCAGACCCTAGGGCAACCCAAACATTGGGCACATTCCCACTGAGCCAACCTGGGTCAGACCCACCCAAAGGCCATGGTATCTGACCCATCGAGAAACCGACTAAAACTCCATTCCTTCTGGCAAGTGACAGGAAACCAAGAAGACACCATGGCAGTTCTGAGGTTAGCAGGGAGGGTCCTGCCTAGCCCAGATCTCTGGTTTCTGTTCCTCCCACGGTTTGGTCCCCTCCCGCACTGTAGTCAGGGATCTAAGTGAATGCAAGATACAGGCAAGTGACAGAGGCTGCCAAGAGGTCAAGGTTGTGTCACCCTCGCCTCTGCCTCTCCAGGCCCTGGCACACAGGACACATCATGGCCGTGAAGGATTCTCCCCCTGTCGCCAAACCACTCTTGACTCTTCCCAAGGCAGGGAATCATATCTGGGTAGTAACAAAGGCCACACACAAGTGATCCATCACAAGCATTTGGATAACTGGATACAAACCAAGATTTTTATCACAGTTTTGTGTTGTTAACAGTCAAAGGGGAAAAAAGAAAACAATGTGACTGTGCTGAACGCTGAGCCCCACGCACCTCTCAATAGGAAGTTCTCCTATTTGTTCCATTAATGAATGTATGTGTGGAGTTGGTGAACTTGGTACAACAAAATCGGGACTGTGAACCCAAAAAGGAAAAGAAGAAAAAGGTTCGCAAACTGTTATTTTATTTGGAAATAAAACGCAAATTATTGTAAAGAATAATGGGCCGATTGCTATAAAGCAATTTATACATCGCTATAAAATGCCTCTGGTCGGAGCACTTAACGCCCCACGGAAAGGGGATGCCAGAGAAGCAGGAGGTAAATGGAAGAAGTAAAGAGCTGCTGAGCCAAACCCCACCTTACCTGGGATGGAGCCACCAGCCGGGGCGTCTCAGACCCCAAGACCCCAGGCTCACTGTCCCTCACCCACGCTGCTCAGTGGCAATGAAGGCCTTTGAGCAACAGGAAGCACAGAGCGGCTTGGGTGTGCTCCAGGAGAGAACAGACAGACGGACTGACAAGAGTCCTGGGAGTCTTGAGAGCACGATCTTACAAACTCCCATTTTGGAGTTGCAGTTTCGCGACTCCTGGAGTAAGTGACAATGGTAAGGACGCTACTTCACGAAATTGCTGCAAAGAGTAAATGGAACCACTCTCGTAAAGTGCCTAGCGCGTCACCCTCCATGCTGTCTGTCATTTTTGTAATTGTCTCTGTTTTTCTTTTAATTTTTTTTAACGTTTATTCATTTTTTCGACAGACAGAGACAGAACGTGGGTAGGGGAGGGGCAGTGAGAGAGGGAGACAGAATTCAAAGAAGGCTCCAGGCCCTGAGCTGGCAGCACAGAGCCCGACATGGGGCTCGAACTCACGGACCATGAGATCATGACCTGAGCTGAAGTCGGATGCTTTAACCAGCTGAGCAACCCAGGCGCCCCATAATTGTCTCAGTGGTGCTGCTTTTCACAGTACCGCACCGCTGAGCTGACAATTAATGGGTGTGGCCCCCCTCCTTGGATACTCGCTCTGGGGTGTCACCTACTGCAGGCCAATGTCACTAATCAAGAGGACACTGGGGCAAGCCCCCAAGCTTGGGACTTTCATCTCTGACCTGTCGCTGAGCCAGTCACGGCGGA